GGAGAGGAGAGGAGAGGAGAGGAGAGGAGAGGAGAGGAGAGGAGAGGAGAGGAGAGGCGAGGAGAGGCGAGGGAAAAAGAAGGGGAAAAGTGCGTGTACCTGCCACACGGGTTCCGTGTGCTTTCCTGACTTGGCGCTGCTCTTGTAGCTGGGCTGGGAGCTGGGCTTCTTCAGGCTGTAGATGGCCACGTTGCCATCGTAAAAACCCACTGCCACGAGGTGCGGGTGGTCGCTGTGGATGTCCAGGCACATGATGCCGCTCTCACTGCTGAAGACGTACTCGGGGAAGGATGGGTTCTTCATGGTGTACAGCAAGAGCATGCCCCAGCTCTGCTTCATGAAGTCATCTAGGAAAAGAGGAGTTTCCCTGTCAAATCAGCTTGCCAGATCTCCAACTATCAAGATCTATCATCTTACAGCACTGATCCATGCCTAAAAACAGAATCACAGAATCACAGGATGGTTGAGGTTGGAAGGGACAGAATCACAGGATGGTTGAGGTTGGAAGGGACCTCTAGAGATCATCTAGTCCAACCTTCCTGCTCCAGCAGGGACACCCAGAGCACAGGCACAGGGTGGCATCCAGGTGTGTTTTGAAGACCTCCAGAGAAGAAACAATCTGAACACAAGGTCATGAGGAAAGGACTTGAGTCAAAAGACCATTCATGTTGCAGTGCCCAGATCTGAACAACTTTGCCTCCATTGACACGCCAGCCCCAAGGCACGGGGGTAATGTGTTTATGAAGAAAAACTACTATTTCTAGAGGTTGTTTCTGTAAAGGAAGGTTGAGAGACTGTGAAGGACAAATTTATTCAAAACTCCTGGACAATTACCTCTTTGGGCTTGGATTTCATTAATATTGCACACACGCAGACAGATGCATCTCAATTTCTATATTGGCAGGGTTTGATATTGCAGGGTCTTATGCTTCTTCAGAGAAAAACATGTCATTTAAGTACGTATGCAGAATCACCCACTGCCATTATATGTAACTGTGCAATGCACAAGTCACCGCAGCTTTATTTTCAGTTTATGCCCAACATCTCCTTTGTTTTGCATAAAAACTCTCTTGCTGAAAATTTCCATTTTCCTTTCAACTTATTTTTACCTTTCCTTTCTGCAGCCTGCAATTAGCTCTCCCTGTTCTCAATAGGACCATTTTTCTTCCAATTTTATCATGTCTGGACGGTCTTTAGTTTTTTTTTTTTGCTTGTCTAAAAAAACAATTTCCAAACTCCTTTACAGGAAAAGCTGTTGATGCAGATAAGCTCGAGAAAAATGAAAAAGGAACTTTCTTAGTCTTTCAAAACAGTGCTCTATCCGAGGGAATCCTAGCCATCCTTCCAAATGCTATTTTTTCTTTTGGCACACAGTATATGGGAAACAAATTTAGCACTTTTTTTGTGTGTGTGTGCTTCAGCTACCTACTGTAAGTCGTATTTCCAGAATAGTCCCATTTTAAAAGCACTTCCTACCTTTCCTAACATTTTGATCAGCCTGCAGGATAAGGAATTGGTAAAGGCATACCCCAAAATAACATTAATTTCAGAGATTTCTCCTCAGCACTGAGCTGTTCCCCAATCAGCCTGCAGGGAAAGATGTTGTTTCCCACAAACTTTTTGGGGTCACATAAGGAACATTTAAGGAATTAGTAAAGTAACACATCACACATCAGTAAAACCCACCCATCAGCAAAACTATTAATGCTGCTCTTTATTCGGACTACAGCTGTGTTCTAACCAACTTAGATCTTTCTTAGCCAACTAATGTCATGAAGCTGTTTTACTAAGCCTAGGTCCAGTCCTGATAAAGGAGAATCTTGCCACTCCTCAGCAGGAGGAACACTCCACAAGGCTGTGCAGACGACCTACCAGGAGCAACCAATAGGAGAAGGAACTAGGAAACCACATCTGCTTGTTGACTTCTGCTCTCAGCTCAGTTCTTGTTCTAATTTCTCCTGGAGTGAACTGAACAAGGAGACATATTTCTAAAAATCTACTGTGCACATTCATTCTGTCTGTAGCCACTGAGGTGCACAGACAGTGGAGACATCTCCAGGGACTTAGTCACCCCACCAAAGACCTGAACTGTTTCCTGGAGGTGCCTCTTTCTCTGTTGGTCTGGCAGGATCATACAGCAGCCCCAGTCCTCAATTAGATGGGGCAGAGCAGGGCCTTGACTGAATAAAATAACCCAGCGGCACCAGCAAATCCATGTGGAGAACGTTTGCCTCAAAGAGGCCTTGGAAGAAGCTCTAACAGAGATGAAATGCAGGATTCAATTTGCAGATTAAGACACCTCACTGGCTGGCTGCCAGTTTGCTCAGACCTGAGCCCCCGCTGCGACCAGCTGAGATCAATCAGGGCACTGCACCGAGTGCACAGAACTCACCTTAAAGAAGATCCCTCTATTTGTTCTGCTGACTTATTCTGCAGGCTCCACTGACTCTAAGGGAAAAGACCCGACTCCCACCTCTTCTTTCTTTTGTGTTATGAAATACGCTGGATATGGGTTTATAGATGTGTGAATACTTCAGATAAGCCTAGATAACATGTTTGCTCATGTAGAGCCTATTTCTGATGAAAGGTGAAGAGATGAGAATAATCCACAATTAACACTGAAGCATAGCATATAAATCCCAATAAAACATTATGCTCCAGAGAACAAGCATATAAATCCATTTCACTGAGGGGTGAATTCTCATCCAGAGTCCTAAGATGTGACATACCTCTGTAATAAACCAAAAAATACAAGCTGATTTCATTGACAACATTCAATATTACACAAAGCGCATAACCAAAGCAGAATATCTGAATTACAGTCTTAGTGCACGGGCTTTTCAAGAGGAGGGTTTGGGTTTCAGTAAAAGCTGAATGCTGTAGATGCCCCAAACCCTGTATAATCAGACTGCCAAGAGGAGGTTACTGAAACAAGGTTAGAAGTGGGGAGCATGCAGCGGAGCAAAGGGTGCAGGCTCAGGGAGGAGCTGCACATCTGGGAGAGCTCCTCTGCTCAGAGCTGCTCTGCTCTATCACTGATGCACCCGAGAAAGCAGAGAGCACCTGCCCCATTCAGGCCCTCCACGTGCAAATTAAAATGTGACTTTTTCCAAGCCTGGAAATAACTGAGAAACTACACGGTTGTTCTGAAAAACATGCCAGCAGGAATATTCTTCCACTTACGGGAAGACACAAGGCAGCACAGGAATAAGAGGACAGGAAACAGACTCTTGCCGTAATGAGGAAGAGCTGTATGTGACGAGGTTCCTAAATGTCCATCGGAGTGGAGGTTGGATTTCAGATCCTGACACGGAACAAGGGTATGCGGAAAGAAAAGCTTTGCTAATGAAAGCAGCAGAGAGCATTAATACCAGGATCAACCTGGAGAGCCGAGCCTGTAAGCATTGCATGCAATCCAAATAGCTTTCAAACCAACTGTTACTGCTGTATGAAATATTCAGCTGCATTTGCATTTAGAGGTGGGAAGATTCTGCCCAAACGCTTCTTCAGAAAAATGCAGATCCAGTTACAGCAACATGATTTGAGACATAATTGTGGCACCACCAATTAGTTAATGCAAAAAAAAAAAAAAAAAAAAAAAACCACCTAAAATCTGAATGTTTCATTCTGACATTTGCTAAATGTCCCTTTTATATTTTTTTTCATTTATATTTTCCTTCAGTTCAATTTAAAAGCATTGAGAGATGCTGAATATCAGATCAAAATATTTTGTTGCTTTGACAGAAAGTCCCTGCCCCTTTTGGTTCACCAAAGACCATCAGGCAGACATGGATTTCCTCCATTTCTTAAGAAGTTCTTGGTACCAGTCAGCCCAATGCAAGAGCATCTCTGAGTTAGAAACCAGAACGCTTGGGGTAAATCCTGCATTCACACAGTAAATCTCCACATGGGAACTCTCAATCATCACCAAGCAAAGTAGAGGTTTTTTACTGCACAGGAAGCCCATGCTCCAGTTTCTTGTTTGAGAAGTACTCTCTCTTTGGAGGACTTGAAGCTCCAAATACTTCAACCTTACATATTAGATCCTGTGCTACACAGATGCTTATAAACCAAGAGTGTAAAATGTCTAGCAGAGATGACTCAAGCTAAGAAATCACCATGCTAAAATTAACCCTGCTGCATAAATCTGTCCTTTCTCCTCCAAAGATCCCATCTGAAAAGGAAAAAGATGGGTGAGCGCAGTCGTAAGCAGGTGCTTGTTTCGGATCATCACAGCTGCACGAGCACTTGTATCTCCCTTTCCTAAATATACCCCTGCTTTGACGAGCTTGCTGGCTGGGCCTCCCTCCTCTCAGATTGGATTTCAGAGCAGCGGAGGAACGGGCAGAGGAGATTGGTTTCAAAGACAAAAGCTGTGGTACCCACAGAAGTGGCTCAGCTGCTCACACGCCTCTAAAACCTTTAAAGGACAGGAGAGATTTACTGCAGAGCAGCAAATTTTCCCAAGCAACATCTTCTAAAGCCCGAGCACAGCCTAAACATAAGCCCTTGCTGCAGCGTATGTGGCAGCAAGAGATGCAAGCCACAAATTAATGAATTCTCCAAGTCTCAAAGCACTTTATTTTCTTTTTTTCTATGAGCGAGTGAGACCTGGGCAATGTGGCACTGAGCACTGCCTCATCTGCCCTGCTGCACAGCATGCCGAGGGAGGCTGTGCTGCTTGGGCAGGACTCTCCTGGCTCAGCCAGCTCCCCACCTCACTGCGGGTGCAAAAGGGGATATTCCTGGCACTTTGAGCTCCACTGCACACCAGCAGATTAGAAATATCAGAAGTAGTACAGAAAAATCATCTATCTCCTCTTTATCAGCAGGGGAGGGAGAAAGGCCTGTGGAGAGGACTCTAAAGGCAGGTAACAGAATCACAGAATCACAGAATCACAGAATGGTTGAGGTTGGAAGGGACCTCTAGAGATCATCTAGTCCAACCCCGTGCTCCAGCGGGGACACCCAGAGCACGGGGCACAGGGTGGCATCCAGGTGGGTTTGGAAGATCTCCAGAGAAGGAGACTCCACAACCTCCCTGAGCAGCCTGTTCCAGGGCTCTGTCACCCGCACAGTGAAGTAGTTCCCCCTCACATGCAGGTGGAACTTGCTGTGTTGCAACTTACACCCATGACCCCTGTCCTGTCACTGGTCACCACTGAGAAGAGCTGGAGGCGCAGGTCATTGAGCTGGAGGTGCGGGGAGCAGGACTCGGGACTTCACGGGGATTGCTCCAGGTGGCCCCATCCCAGGATACCAGAGAAATTCGGAC